AGAAAGAAAAGTCGTATTATTTCTTGACCTCGTTGTGCTATATTCCTAGCACTTCAAGGTCAAGTCATTAAATAACATGATAAATTACATCGAACCAATGTTTTAACCTTACATTTGGCACATGGCCTTAAAGTAAACATGTTATAACCTTTTATCAAAGATGACTTTATGTGATATTTGTAATGGTAGCGATGAGAATTGCATATCCTCTTAAGTTACATTGATGTATGAAGCTTTGATTCTGAGATACAGACAAGGTAAAATGGTACTATCTGCAACTTCGCCGCGCAAACCTGTAGTATGATAGACAAAGGGCGCGACCTTGCGAGCGCGCCAAAAACTACCGCGACGGCCTGCCTAGGCTCGACATGCAGACGGTGGACGCCAGATAAGCGGAAACGAACGTGTTACGCTCATGTCTTAGTCAAACTGTGTATTCGAAGGTTCGTTAAATTAACGCCATTCCCATTAAGTATCGTTTGTCATTTTTCTTACAAATTGGAGGCAGCGGTAAAAATGTGAATTTACCACTAGAAGCAACTAGAACGAGAAAATGGCACAAGACGGGGCAGCGAACCCGCAAGCGGCAGCGATGTTTTCATACAACATTGCAGCACCAAATCTGTTCGATTTCAACGCTTCTGGAGAAGAGGCTGAGAGCGGTTGCGAATGGCTTTAAAATTAAAAGCGTTCTCAGAAGATGAACAAGTACATACGTTGATCTATCTAACGGGATAAAAATCTGACGATGTTATGTTAAGGTTCGGTCTGGCGTATGATGAAGAGAAGCAGTACGAAACTGTGATTCAGAAATTTCACAACCACTTCCACCAAAGACTAACGTAATTTATGAAAGAGCCCGCTTCCGCACTTGTGTTCAAAATCCCGTGGAATCGGCGTGTGATTTCATTACGGCGTTACATAATCTCACCAGAAATTGTAACTATGGTAATTTGAAGAATGAGTTTATTCGTGACAGAATTGTGGTCGGTGTCGTAGGCAAACAAACTCAGCGTGCGAATGCAATTAAACGACACTCTAACTCTCGGTAAAGAAGAAACACAATCTGAGAAAGCAAGTCGAAGGCCTTCAACAACCTACTGTAAATCGAATCGTAACACAAAAGAAACAGCACTAACATTCAACTCACAGGCAGTGACAAGAAATCTGATACGTGACCTAACCTCAATTCCAGGCCAATATCTGACAATAGCGTGGCCGTGAAAAGCACGAGCTCAAATCATGTCAGACCAAAAACACTATTTGTAACAAATCAGAGCCATTTCTCTAATAGCTGCAGGTCCGAGAAAAATGTGTGCACGATAACCGAAGATAAACTACAGCTAGACGTGCTACACATTGATTCTATTGACGAGAGAGGGAATCCTAACGATGACTGGATGTCGACAGGTTAACGGGAAGAATATCCGGATCAAAATCGACAAAGGTAGTGACGTCACAAACCTCTCATTAAAGTATGCCGGAAACAACATGGAATAAACCTACAGGGAAGGTATCAGCGTCGGATAAAACAAAGTTGGAAGTCCAAGGAATTAAGCAGACCGCGTTAACCTACAAGGACAGGACTCTACATGGACACATTAACTCCATATATAACCTTCATCAGCCGCTATTGAAGAAATACAAAGCTGTTAAACTAGGCTTGGTGAAGAGGATGCACGCGGTCTTCTACGATTGCACTATTTCACTGGATGATGTAAAGTCGAAATTTCCCGAGTTATGGTATCTGGAAAATCACTGGGAAGTGCAAATTGACAATCCGATGAAAACCGGTCACGGTAATGTCTAGACGGATCGCCATTCCCATCATCTGTCAGGTCGACAAAGTTCTACAGAAGATGCTGAAGGAAGAAATAATATTACCGGTCCATGAGCCTACTGAATGGTGTGTTTGAATGGTCGTCCCCTTCAAGGATTCAAGTCAGGTGATTGGTTACTATTGAAAATTGTCACTTTGTACCACTTTCAAAACGTTTATCAATACTTCTCGCTCTCCATGCAACATGGCGGCGTGTGGTGTGGCTTTTCAAAGGAAGTGCCCGTGCTGTGGTGATGTGGTTCGTGACGCAAACTAGTGTTGCGCCGAACGATGCAAAATCGGTGCGCCCGAGGAACATTCATGTTTTTCCATGATGGTATTATGAATGGTAAGGCGGCGAAGTATTCCTAAGTATTCGATTTCGATCCTGAGTTCTCCCTAGCACCTCTCACGGTTATAGCGGGCGACCTGAACGCCAAGTGCGAAGAATGGGGCAGTAACACAACAAACAACAACGGAAACTTACAAGTTTCCTACTACCACACAACGCTGTGACACTCATCCCGCCCTCCACACCTACCCGCTTCTCAACTGACCCTCGCCTCCGACCCGAAATCCTCGATGTGGCACTCACATCAGGGAATATTCGAGTCACTACTTCCAAACCTATTCCCTTCTCCCTTTCCGATTACATTCCTATTACCTTCGCGGTAGGTAGCATTCGCGGCTTCTGCGGCCCTAGGCAGTGGGTCCCGCAACCCACTGACTGGGATGAGTTTCGCAATCAGCTTGCAGTACCACACTCACAAGCACAAACCACGCAGACAATGGATTCACCAGAATCTATAGACGCGAGCTTACCCACACACTCACAAAACATATACAAACAGCCCACAATAGGCGACGCCGGATTTCTGGCATCCGCGCGAAGAAGGCTCAAATATACTTCCTCGAAATGTCGAAGAGCTTCTGCGGGAAAACGCAAAACTAGGCGAATATGGCAGCAGTTTAGGTGTCTTAGCAAAAGGAATAAACCTAGACCACAAATGAACTACAAATTAATACTACAAAAACAGATGAATCTGACGCTGAAGTGGGCGGAATAAAACCACTTGACTTTTTCTGCGGAAAAGTCACAGGCAATGTTACATCCGCCGAAAACCCAAATACACTAAACGCGTTACACCACCAAAACAAATTACACTTGGCACACAAAAACTGACATGGGCGCCTAAGGCAACTTACTTAGGCGTCATATTTGATCGAAGGATGCACGGGCATTTACATGTCTGACGTATTCGATCAAAATTTAAACAAAAAATTCGACTCTTACATCTTTTGAGGGAGCCTACACGCACCTTGGAACTTCGCACTCTATAAAACGTGTTGCCGGCCTGTGGTCACCTGCGCTACGGCAACGTGGTGGACCATAGCACAGAAGCACAAGGATACACTTGAGCTAGAACAGAACTGAGTTCGACGGCTCATAGCACGCCCTCCGTTTCAGAGCAGTTGGCCGCTAGGATTCTGCTTCAGATAGCGGCTGAATACGACCTAGTTATTTAGCTAGTGTGGAAAATCCTGCTACCGTCGGGCCTCAAATGCTAGGACTTACAAGTCAGAGGCACTGCAGTGACATCAGTTATGCCCTGAGCCACCTTTCCCGTTGTGTGTTGATGGTACGCTTGTTTCGGATAAAGTGAGGAAAATATTACAGATGTTCCACGAGCATCGTTACCGAGAAAACATCGTCTGACAGAAAATGTGGGAAACATGCGCGAAATTCTTGGAACAGATCGTGGAATATCCACAAAGATTGATACTCTTGCCGAAAACCGAAAAAAATCAGTGCATGCAATTTTTTCCGAATTAGGCCAAATGCACGCTTTGTTCCTAGAGTGACTGTCTCCTGAATACTGACTGTGTTAGCATGATTTCGTAATGTATTTTGTAGAGAACATTCGAACAGTGAGTTTTGTTCGGGTTTACTGAAATAGTGAAGTTTGTGATAGCTTATGTCGCATTCCGAAGTGTCCAAGAAGATGTGACCGCGAGGTTATTTTATTTACTGTTGTGTTTTAAACTGTGAACTGTCAATTTTGTTCTGCTTTGTACTTCCCATAGAGAAATTCTGGAAACCAGGCAATCTTTGCTGGCGCGTAAGCAATTCCCAAAGAATTACCAAGTTTAGTATGAGCGTTGCTGATGTACATGTATCTTATCACATTTGTTATTTACAATGATATATTTGCTTTCTTTCGGTTTATTTAGGTTCTGGCTGCGAATTTTGACGACAAATTGGATTAAAAAAAACAATTATCAATACACGTCAAGTCGCTACCTTTTCTTTTTGAAAACGGTTCGAAGTAAATATTATCATGACCTCAGCGATGATGTTAAGATGCTGCCTTATAATAAAATGAAACATTGGGTTCGACGTGCCCTTTCATAGGTTATGAAAAGTTCCCACTAATTTCGAGTCTACATATACACACGACACACGTATCTCGGCTACCGTTCAGACCTAGTAAATCTCAAGGAATCGCTTACGTGCATTGCAGATGTTGCCACCTAACACTTTCGCGCTAAATGTTGTGACGTCATTCTAAATATCTCTCTTCGTTTTGAGTTCCCGGCAAAGATCTTTTAACTACAAGATCGCGTGCACTGCTCGATACGGTCGTGGTAATGCGACATCTAGCTGTACGTGGGAGAAAGACGCGAAATACTGTGGATAATCCATCGTGAAGACAAGGCCTCGCGCTCAAAGAGTATATATCAAAGAGTATATGCTGGCGCTAAGAAATAAACAGAAATAAAAACCCAAGTTACTTAAGTAGTGGCGGCAGTGGCAGTGACCATCCATTTTAATAAAAGTCCGTTCAGAATCATGTAAATAATATAGTTATATCTAATGGAAAAAGGAACTGAAATGTAAATTAGATGTTTTCTACTGGTTCTATACCTCCAAAATTGCACACTGATTGTGTTTTTTTTAAGAACAGAGCTGTATAGAGAATCCTAAAATATTCAAATAAACTAATAAAATTGCCATGTACGTAATGTTAATTGGATCGTGGCGTAAAAAGAATAGGTTCGATAAAAAAGAACATGTATTGACTGTTCATGTTGACAGTACATCGAGTGCATTGGACTGCATTGGTTAAGATTGTGGAAAACGAAGGAATTTGTGGTTTCTGGTGCACTCTCAATTGCTTTGTATTGACATAATTATGAACTAATTATGGCTGACAAACTTAAAATGTGAGTTTTCTTAATTTAATTGTTTTGTCTTCTCGTCGTTTGAAGGTGGTTGGCTCTGGAACTTCTTTTTTACTCTCTCGTATACATACGTGATGTGACTACATATACGGAATAATGTAGTACGTACTGTATGTTAAGTTTATGTAATACCGAAAATCGATTTCGTAATGTAGACGAAAAACACGTGGGATCTCCTTATACCGAAAAAGGGGTTTTTCCAAACGCCCGTCCGTTTTGTCTGTAAGTTTGTGAACAACACTACCGCGCTGGCGTCCAAAATATTCATGGTTTTTCCTCCAAAATTGAATATTCTCCAATAGACGTGGCCCGTCTGTAAGCCCTGCAATTTGGAAAATAATTCTTTGATATTTGGGGATACTTTAAATGAAATCCCTGGGATATTTTCAAAATATTCTGAAAAGTCTCCTAATTTTTTCGTTATATCTTGTAAGAATGTAGTGAAATACACGTATAAAAATGGCATAGGGCAAATTTGTACTTAGCAAGGAATATTTGAAAATTGCATGCATTTGAAATATTTTTGACCTCATTATACAACTACATTGAAAATGGAGACTTTTTCTTCAAATGATATTTGTTCTACATAATTAGTTTTTAAATCAATGTCACATACATTTTTGTTAAATATTATTTTTGCCTAATTTTGAGTGAAATATGGGCAATACTGATGACAAGATTATCTCAAAAACTACTTAAATTTAATGTTTTTAAACCGATAATACCGTGGTAAATGTAGCACTAAATAAAATAACAAACACATCTATTTAGCATAAACATATACAGGAAGTAGGGTGTAACATATATTACAAATGTCATAAACATTACACAACATAATCGCATCAAAATAACATACTTCGATGTTTTCTTTTTACTTTCAAATATCACACAATTGGTTGTTTTTTTGTACCTCTCTTGTCATTAATATTTACATTATGGAAGATTTTTTTAATACAAGGTCTTTAAATGAAGTTTGTCAAAACCTCACAGAGTTTTCTGGGAAAATCAGCTCAAAATTTTGCATTTTCAGAATTGCTGAAGAAACATTTTCAATAAAAATTTCCCTAGAAGACCAGGTTTTACTCTTCTTTAATATTCTTAAAGTCATATTTCAATATTACTACTAAGGTACTGCTAAAAGTAGGGTAACTAGGGTAAAATTGAGAAAATGTGAAAAAAATGTCTTTTACATGCCAGAAAATTGCTGGAAGAAGGTGGGTCGAAACCTAATAGGTAGCTCAGATGAAGGAGATAAGGAAACTAACTAGTATGTCATTCCGTGACATCATAAATTTGCAAAATTTTATGCAGACATTATTTGATATTGTTAAACAGAGAGAGTGGCTTTTGTTTTTTGTAATTTAAGAGACAGTGATAAATATTCTATAAATGATGTTGAAGGCATTGTAATTTTTTTTGCTTTTGTCAGACACATTGCAACTAATGATATTTTGGAAGAATCATTGAACTAAACCACAATTTCTTATTGGGATCAAAGATATTTAAAATCGGATCAATTATAATGAAGGGTTTGTTTGGGGGTTCAATAGCTGAGTGTGCAGTGGCGAAGGATTGGTATAATCAAGAAGAATGGTGTTGGAGAGGGGAAATATAGTGTAGAAAGGGGTGCTTGAGGAGGGGAGGGCTATGAAGAGGGATTAGGTAAGGCCATCAAAAGCTCACTCTATTGACGTTAAATTTTGATGCAGGTATAGTGCTTCGTGAGCCAGTGAAAAGTATCGAGAGAGAGGAAAGTGCAAATCAGACACAACATATGTAGTCTTTTATAAAAAGGCATCACATTTTTCTTACTACACCGTCGTAACAGCAGGTTATTTGGAATTTTTTTAATAATTCTTGTTTATGTCAATGTTTTGATGTTTATTTCACCTTCATCAGGCCAATACTAGATTTTTTTTTTATATAAAGAAAGTGAGAGAAAACAAACAACACAAATAAGTTCAGTACTTCACAGAACTCTTGTCATTGTTGAACTGAATTGACATCATTTATAGAGGTTAGATTTCAGAGATTGATTTTATATAACAATTAATGTGAGTTCTCTGAAGTATTGAACTTATTTTAATTTTTTTATTTACTTTATTATAATATATCTTTATTTGTGAAATAATCCTGATGGAGGTGGAATAAGCACTTAAGTGTTGGCATAAAGAATATTGTTATTATAAAATTTCAAATGAAGTGTTGTCAATGCATTCCACCATGATTACAGAGAAGCAAAAGACTACAAGTTTCATTAGTTATTTACGCATTGTTCATCTTAAGAAAAAGAGTAAGCAAATTAAAGATAAAACCTTTTCACAATGATATTGATTCAAAATATAAAAATTAACTGGTTCCTACCCCTCTACATAATAAAATATGTCATTTTCACATTTTTTTAATGCTTAAAAGCTTTGTACTTTTTGAGATATACATTTTTTTTATAATATGATTTTTTTTAAATTTTGATTCCGAATTAAATCCTATGAGTGTAGTGTCTAGGGGACTTGATTTCTTTTAAATATAACTTCATTTATATTGAGTTTCAAATTCATTTTTATTTGTTGATTTGTACGATTTACTTTTCGTACTATAGAAAATTAGTAAAAATTATATTTGTGAATGTTTCATCAGCTTACATTGTAATAAATTATTTCACACAACTCAATAATTATGGAACTAAAAAAATTACTGCAAAATTATCAGGAATATTCCTAATAACATTGATTATCTATTTTATAATCTTGATGAGAGGTGTCCTTGAATTTTTGACTATGAAAACAACTGATATTTCATAATAGGAAACTATTAAGGGATCATTTTACAACACATTTTTCGTGACCCAGTTGATCACCTCAGGTGAAACAGATGTATAAACACCAGAAAACGTCATCACTACAGATCTAAGGTGGTGTTGAAATAACACTCAACCTTAAAAACATAGATACAATAGAAATAGAATACGCACGAGTTCAATCAATTGTGAAAAGTAAGGATGGACATTCCTTGTTTGAATACTAATATACTATTTAGTAATGTAGTACTGATATCTCACCTGAGATACACAACAGTAATTATTTAAAAACAGAACATAAATTGTGCAAAATGTGGAATTAAAAATATTAAAAAGTATAAGAAACAGAACGATGCTACAACCTTTTGAAAAAACTCAGTCAGTTGAAGAGGAAGTTTACTACATGGGTGACCTTGCCATAATGGGAGAGGAAAGAGGGAGACAGTCATTATGCCAGGTCTCAACAGTAGAGAGCAGGAGGAAATCAGTGAAACAAGAAAAATGTTAGACTGTTACCAATGTTGACCAAATATACAGTAACTTAGAAGACCAGAATTACGATACTTTCAGTTTTTCTTCCACTGAGGTGAAGTAACAGTGCAACACATTTTTTGTTCCTGGTTTCAGATGTTAGACTAGGATGTTTTCTGACTTCAAGAAATATACTCGGGGAAAGAAATATATAGTTGGTGGCCAAATTATTAGGGACAGGACTCAGATTTTTGGGTTTTAGTTTTACTGCTGATTTATCAAACAAATCATTGATTTTTGGTCTCATAGGTATTTTTTATTTATTAGAGTTTATTATTTAAATCACCAAAACAAATGAGATATTTAGAATACTGGTATTGTGGTGATTTTCGTTGAAATTTCCAATGAAATAATTATGTGTGTCGTCATTGCCAACAATATATTGTTGGCAGTGACAACACATATAATTATTTCAAGATATTTTGATAAAATTAATACTAATATTTAGTGACAACACCCTTTGTTGCAATTGCAGCTTAAACGTGTCGCTGTATGCTCTCTACACAGGCTTTTGCATTTTGTTGTAGTTCAATTGTGATGCTATTCTTTGTTGATAATTTCAATTAACTGGCTCTTAGTGGTGATCACTTGCTTGGCGTCAACCATGTGATGAGTTCCCACATGAGTTCTCTGTAGGGTTTATGCCTGATAAGTTTCCCGGCCAGGACAAAAACGGTAATATTTTGTTCCCGGAATGCGGAACCCGGAATACTCCTAGTTTTGTGGCACAGAGTTGAATCGTGTATGAAAATATATTCTTAATCAACAGGGATGATTCTTTAAAGTTTGAGCTGTGGCAGTAGTAGAGTTTCTAGTACTCTCTTGTACTAGCCTTGCCTCATGGTCACTTCAAGGATGAATAGGCTCCCCATATACCCTTTGCTGAGATCATAGACTACTCTATGACCCTAACCAGGTGTTTAACCTGCTCCGGTAGGTAGACTGACCGGTACTTTTTCCTCGGGACGTCATTGCACAAATGAACTTTAGTTGACCAAAACCTGACATGTTGATTCATCAGAGAAGCAAACCTGCAAAATATTACAAAAAATCATTATTTATGAAATGCATTACTACTTTAAATATATAAAAAGGTTGTACTACTCCACTTCAATCTGCAACAGTCCTTTTTCATTGCTATGTGGCCCATTGCAGTTGCTTATTCTTCATGCCCTTGGTGAGGCATGGTTTTTGGATAGGAGGACGACAACCGATCAGATTATCTTCAGCTAACTATTTCCAGACCACCCTTTTGGAAACTATTACTCTCTTGGTGTTAATAATTGTAGTTAGATGGGCAGCAGCCTTTTACTATGGTTGATTCAGAGATCCCTGATTCTATGATGGGAACAAAGACGAGTTCCTTTCCTGCTATATTTACCCATACAGTCACATTGTAAACTAAAATGAAAATCGCTCATGAAATTTAGAAAAGTAATGCACTAAGGGACAATTCTTATGTTTTGCTAATTTTGTATAAGAAAAACTTGCAAAAATAAATTTAATATAATTCGTTTGCCCTCACTATATTTCTTAAATAACGCAGGCATCCAATGTTGCCACTTATTAAAAACAATAATAACAACAACAGTAATATTTCAAATCATTTTAAAAACAAATCCTTTCCTCAAAAAAAAAAAAAAAAAATTATTTTATGATGTTACTATGTTCTCAAAATGAAAGCTCACTTTTATACATAATTTCAAGGCATATATTTATTATATTTAGTGCATTATGTTCATTAGAACTGGCAATGCATTTTTAGAGCATAGATTTGCACTAAATATAATACCTTTGAATCGATATTTGTTAGAAGGTCATCGATCAGTAAACCAAATTATTTGGGAAATTGCAAAAATTGGTTTAATATTAAAACTATGCAGTTAATTGCACTTTTCTAGTTATGGTACTTTTCTATACATTTGTAATAATCATGGCAGTCGAAGAGATTGTTATGAAATTAAATCTTTTGTGCTTTTTAAATTTTAAATGCTCTTGATTGATGTTTTAACAAATTCTAGAATAAATTTTTATATTTTTAGTTTTTATTTTATTTTAATGATTCATGTTTTGTCAGGGAATATAATAAAATATTATTACATTTCTCTGTATGCATGTCATAACATTTTTCAAACTTATTTATGTAAAGCATGTAAAAAAAGTTTGCTAGTAAGTATTAGGTTAAACAAAAAAATACTTTCTGCTTAACTAGTATTTCCTTTTTAGTCATAATCCTCTAGATACTGTAGAGACTAGCCATTGTAGTATATTTTTATGAAATTCCATATGCTCTGCAGGTATGAGTTGTCCAATTTTCTCAATGTCTTGACACTTTGATTGGTACCTTTCCTGGAGGATAAGCTGAAATGCCTGGGTGTACAAGATCACAAGTTTGACCAAGAACAAGTGAATAATAGATGAGGCCTCTAATGGAATTGTACCATTGTCTGTATCCTCTTCTCTCTGAATTTTATTTGAGATGGTTCAAACTGTCTCTTCTGAGTCAACTGTCTTCTTGTACAAGGGCTTTTACCAGTTCTTGAAATCAATAATATCAGATCCTGTGGCTTCTGTTACCTCAAACCAGGAGAGTTGGCTTGGGCATCAACTGATGTCGCTGCTGTGCATCAGGCCGAAGGTCCTAGGTTCAGATCCCTACAGTGCCAGGATTTTTTACTTGTCAGCTTGGTTGAATTCAGTTGCTGTCTGGAGGAGAATTCCTGTGGTCGACTGCTCTGATCCATGGTTTGTCTGATCAACACCAGGTGAATTCTAGAACAATACCCTAACAAACAGGCTATAGACAGCACATGATCTTTTTTTTCTCTCTCTTGTCCTATCCTCACCCCTTATGTACACACACTTACACTAACATGCGCTAGACTACCATATGCCGGGAGCCCAGTCGGGATCTTAAAGCTTGTCCCAGCTGGAGGTGGTGCTCCACTGGTGGGGATGCCTGGTTAGGGAAAACCTCTCTAGCCGACAGTAGGTTGGTGTCTGATCTCGCCATTCAGCGGGGGAGACCTCTGCCACCTACCAAGAAAAACATGTACTACATGTAAGGGACCAATTGAGGACTGAATATTAATACTACTAGCTGAAATGTTGTTTTAATGTCAAACTGTAGCTCTATAGCAATGGTAGCCATCATGGTCAAATGAACATTAAAATGTTGTCATAAACAAGTGTTATAAATTAAAAAATTACAAATTACCTGTTGTCCAGATGCTTCAACATTCATAATTTAATGTATTTGTTGCCACATATGACTTGAATGATGTTTTCTGAAGAAATGCATGGATGTTTTGAAATTTCAAAAATATTCTAGTGTAATTATTAATGTTTTTTGTGGGCAATAAGAGAGTAATTAATAGACAAGTCTCTTAGGTCAGTGGTCTTTGAGTGGCCTATGAAAGTATGGGCAGTGTTTGATTCCCACAACCAGCAAAAGTTTCTTTCTTTAAACTTATTTTTTATTATTCTATTAAATTATATTTATTATATCAATTAGAATTGCAAACTTGGTTTAAACCTCTGTGATTTAAAAAATGGGAAATTCAAATCTTTGATCTTTCTTCTGGCGATGAGAGTTTGCAGATGACTGAAAAATTAGGAGGATGAAAATTACAATATATTATTTTTGACCAGTGCAATTAACATGAGAAAGATATGATTTGTTAAATCCACTAATTTAATTTTTTTCTTCTTTTTTTCCCCTTCAAATTATGGGGGGGAAATGTGCATATAGATTTTTGAATGGAGCAAGAATCGATTGTTAGGTACTCTCAGAAACATTATTAATATGTTCTTTTCTCATGGCTCTATCCTACATAGTTTTTTCTAAATTTTATTTTCTGTTTCTTTGTCATGTTTTAGCTGCAAGTTAATCAAATTTAAAATTTCTAAAAATTGTTTATGTATTTTCTTGTTTGTGTTTATAGACTGGTTTGTGGTGATGTTGATGGAAAATTTAAAACACTTTTTACCAGAGTGGAAAACATAAACAAAAAGAGTGGCCCCTTTGACTTTTTGTTATGTGTTGGTAATTTTTTTGGTCACGGAGACGCATGGGAGCCCTACTCTAATGGATCACTGAGAGGTATGACTTAAGTAAAATACTTTGTAGTAAAAGTGTAGGGTTTTATTTAAATGTCTTGTCACTTGGATGTTTCAGTTCCTCTTCCAGTATATGTCCTAGGTCCAAATGGAGAAGAATTTGTGAAATATTACCCTGACATTACTGGTGGTGAACTCTGCCCTAATGTCTCATATGTTGGTAAGACAAGACTAATTTAACATCAGTTATGGAGAGAATTAATTTATGAAAATGAAAAAAATAAATGAAATAAGAAATAAACGTAGGTTCCTGAAAAAAAATGGTATCCTAGTTGTTATGAAATGTGGAAGCTATTAAGAGGTATTTTAAATTCTTGACAAAGCTGAAAAGAATTAATATTTGATATCATTATTTTTGTTTATGACATCTGAGAAATTGATATTTCTTTCTTAATTATGTTGTGAAATCACACAAATAAGGTTTTTTTAGGAAAATTATTTTTAGATAAATATTTATTTTGATTCCTGTTTGAACATGCTTGAAATTTTCTCTTTCACCCTCTTCCTCCCATATTGTCACTTATGTATATATTTATATTCAATGTTCTTGAATGTAATATTTCTATGTAGGAAAAAGAGGTGTTTTCACTGGACTGTCAGGACTGAAGATGGCTTATGTAAGTGGGAAACCCAGTTCCGAGGAAAATGAGAATGATTGCACTTTTACCAAAAATGATGTAACAGCAGTTCGGGATATTTGCTTACGAAGCAATTCCAATTTTAAAGGAGTTGATATCCTGGCAACTTCTGGATGGCCTCAAAATGTGATGAATTTGGATCTTAGACAGGTACAAAACATTGTTGTACGTAATACATTTGTAACAAATTATGTTGTGAGGCTGTGCAAATTAGTACTGCACTGAAATATTGTGTGTAGATGCCAGTACATTGATACAAGAAGTTCAATACTGGTTATTGAAAAAGTTTTGTTTCTAGTGTGATATTCAATTATAAAAGTAGTCTCCTTACCTGTTTTTACTCTCAATTTTCTTTTAACTGCTTTATTTATATGGAGGCAATTTACACTCGGTAAATTCAATTTACATTCCCACATGGAAATTTCCTGAGAAAATAAACAGTTGTATTTTTCAGAGTAGTGAATGTTACAAATATCAAAATATTAAGTTTTAAATTCCAAATGATTGCAACATTTGTAGATATTGTTGCCTGGGTACACATTTTCCCAGAACCCTCCAGACCTGCAGTAGAATCTCCCTTTCAAATACATCTAGTAGTTTTATTCTAATTCCTTCTTTTACAGGTAACATAAACTATGTAATTATTAACTAGCCTTAAACCTACCTATTAGTTTCTGAATTTTCAGGACAAAAATTATGATGACACTGCAAATATGGGTAGAGCTTTAGCTTCCTTGAATGACTGAAGATGTTCTTTAGAAATAGCATCTTGCAGAAACAATTGAATAATATTATTATCTGTGACAAACATCAATATTTGCTTATTTTCTCAACCTAGATTAATTTGTTTAATTAATTAGATTAACCCAGGTTTATAGTGGCCAGTGACTGTCAATCTTTGGTCCAATGGTGCATTACAAAATTGCTAATATGTCATAGGGGATGATAATTTAATATTGCTTATATCGATATCAATGTCACTATGTTTTTCTAACTTCAGTATCAGAGTGTATTATTGAATTCATGATTAAATGTGACATAAATTGACCTTTTTGTGACTACAAAGCGCACCTTGTTGACTTCCATAAGTCAATAAAAATTGTGGCTCAGCCTTCTTGCAGACACATAGTCGCACTGGGAACTGCGTGAAAAATTTTCCTATTACTCTAAGGTTTGCATTGCCATTAGTGTGCTTCAAATTGAAATAATTGCAGTTGGCAGTATTTTCAGATGCATGCATTGTGTGATAAATGAAAGAATGATGTTTGTTGGTTTGTTTAGTGAAACCCATTGTAGAACATTGTAAAGCATTGTAGAAGCGATGTGTACATTCATGGGAATAAAAGTTCCTAAATATAGTTTACAAATTTTTACACATTTCGTGAATGTACTGCACTTGCAATACATATTATGTATTATTAATACATACTAAATATTATATACATTTATAATATGTTGTATATTCACCATATTATATTGTCACGCCACAGTATAGTTTTATAATTTATTTCCATATAAAACATATTGCTCTAGAGAGACGTGCATTCAACAAACCATGACAAGGTTTATTTATATTTTTTTAATACATTCAATGTTATATTTTTTATGCATTTTTATTTGTCGCTGATCTCCAAGTCTTTCAAGACAAATTTATTTTGCAAATTCTAAGACACTATACTATTCTGATTTTTGTACCAGAATTTATAATGGTTGAA